TATATATTAAGAACTATTTTAGGAAAAATCTATAACAAACTATTTCACATATAACGTGAAATAAAAGGCGCATAAAAATTCAAAATAGAAGAATTGATCGTTCTAAAAAACATAACGAATCAAAATATATTGTTCCACCCACCAACTCTATCAACTACAAGTGAAAGAGATTTATTTAAGCTCAACTTAAATTAGTTAAAAATGCGTCTAATCCGACAAAAGTCTGCATTAATATAAAACAAAATAATAGGTTAACGCTTAAAGGATGGATTTACATTATCACTAGTATTAACTGCCAAAATGATTACACTGGTGAAACTTCGAGGAACTTAAATAAGATATTATATGAACACAAAAGGAATCTTTTACAAAATAATACACTCAATGCATTAATTGTTCACCGTAATAATTATAATTTTGATTTAAAAATGCTGCTGTAATACAAGAATAATCAATTTACTAAGACGAAAATGTATAGAAAGTGCTTTAATCGCTAGATCACCCACACTAAATTTACATCCAAGTTCTTCCAACATTACACGTTTCTTAAAGAAAAAGAAACTAAATATAATCGGCTAGACTATATACATAAAACACATATTAACAAGATTAAATTAAAAATTTGAGTCCCCTTTTTTTCGTGCACATGTTTAATTACATCAACGTAAACATCACATTAGTCCGATGAAATCCTTAATGACGAAACACGTCACACGAAACCTTTTTGCGGTTTGTCATAGATTTTCCTAATGTGCATTCATATGTACAAACCAAGATACAATCCCAAAATACTTATTAGCATAGTTTGCGGTGCCACGGATCCTGTCTTAGCGACGCGACGCTAAACAGCAGCAAAGGTTGGATGACTTGACTGTCTAAAAACGCAAACTGGCACAGCCGTGCAGCCTCGCGTCCATTACCATTCCCGCTGACGTAATTCAAAATGATATTTTTCTGATCACAATGTGAATATCCTGCCATTTTTAAACGGATCACTTCTCAGTTAACTCACTACTACACACGTTAAACTTTGAAGGCAGACTATCTACAAATATACAAGATTGACAAATGTAACCTAGTCTATATAACAACACAATGATATCTTCCGTAAACTTTCTTTAAACTTAATAACTCGAAAACGAAGGATTTGCGGACCTATGTCAATATGAATTTTTGTCCTTGTCTTAGTGTGAGGAACATGCTCCCAAAATTTCTAAAAGCTTTGTATTTAGTTGTTTAAGTTGGTGAATGCTGCCATAATGTTCGCCTTCAGTTCCTCTTTGGTAGTACAAGGAGTTTTGTTGGTCTCTCGCGTCCCACACATAATAATAACACTTATAAATGTATTTTTGATACAACATCTATCTATCTATCTATCTATCTATCTATCTATCTATCTATATATATATATATATATATATATATATATATATATATATATATGGACATTAGGTTCAACACCCAGCAATTACAGTATGTTTCATATTTAAACACAATGTTAAGGCCATTCCAACCATACCTTCAGGCCTCAATGTCCACTATTATAATTGCATTTGCTCTCTCCCTGATATTGAGCACCCTTCGTATTCCACCTCGAAAAACTTCTTTCCGCGAACCACTGAAAAAAAAAATTATCTTAAAACTATATTTTTCGTAGAAAAAGGATTAAAAATCAGAATCTTTTGTTTGTTCCGCATCAGTTGAATGTCGGTCAGAATATGGTGACTAAATAAATTGAGATAAATATTTCAATTTGATTTACTCTCATTTGACAAATCATAACCAAAACATCTCATTTATTCATATCATCCTATTTTATTTCCTCGAATTCAGAAAAGAGTCTTTAAATCCGAAAGCTGCAAAGTTATGCCATAGCATCAACTGATTTGCTAACGTTTCTTCATTGTGATTTCACCTCTAAAATTTTATCTTCAGCTGAATTCCAAAAACGAAACACAATTTGCGACATAGAAAAAACATTTTTTTGTTTTCCTTCTAAGCTATTATTCGTCCAACATGTCGGCAACGTTATATACGAGAGAATTATTGTGCATAAATCAATGGACTGTTTATTTGATCCAAGACTACAGATGTTGTTATGATTCGACGCGTCACAAACCCAGAAAGATTACTTTTATTATTCCTTTCAGCTTCCATACATAACCGATATTCATGACCATTCAGTGGTCTACTTCAACTTCCTATACTTTTGCATATAACACAGGCAGTAGCTTTGGAGTAACTGAAAAGAGTTAAATCATTTTGAAAGAAAACAGATCAATGGGTTCATTATATACATTCTAAAAAGTGCAAAATTTCCCGTGCGATCTCAGTGGTGAGAGTATTTTGAGTCAGAAAATTTCATAACAGATCAATTACAGGTTATATTGTTTGATAGATTTTCAAAAATATATAGCTTACTTTATAGTATACATTAATTACTTAATGCCCAGGTCGTTCAGGAAAGAAAATGGCTTTTATTGGATTATATATATATATATATATATATATATATATATATATATATATATATATATATATATATATAATCAAAACAATCGTATATTTTTATATAAAGGTCATAAACGATTAGATTGTAAAGGAAAAGTATAAAATGTGTTTTTAAAATATGATTATTAATGCATAATATTCAAATTAATTATATCTATATTAAGCACGAATCGGTAATTGGGGTAAAATATAAGACACGTGATTGAAACTATAAACGATACAGTCAAGTTATCACATATTTATTCATCGTAATATTTTCATACACTCACTCACACATACAGACGTACAACAGCTTTTTCTTTAAGCTTTTTATGTCTAGCAATGGTAATAAAGCCACTACGATGCAAGGGATTACTGAGTGTGAAAAAATATGAGAAAAAGTAAAACCTTATTAAGAAGAGAGAACAATAAACGAACAGGAATTAAGACGATAGAAAATGGCGCTTGACATTGTATTTAGATTTTTAAGATCAAACTTGTCTGGAAAATGAGAAGCCGAAAGAAAGTGAGAAGTGAAAGAGACGAAACTCATAACATAGAACGTAATATTATATCTAGCAATTTCTAATGTAAATTTATGAGACATATCTTAAAAAGAAAGAAAAAAGAAAAGATTTTTTTCGCCTCTTGTGGACAAAAGTCACCACCACTATATGGCATTCTGCTCCATCTTGTTAAGTATAATTTAGTTATTGAAATAACCTCATGATTATTTTTCCATCATCGTATCGTGTTACCTTCCTCATTTCACGTTGTCTAACCATTTCAAAACAATTAATAACCTTAATTTAGTCTGGTAGACAATTAAATATTTGGGGCAGCCGATGAATAAGTATCAGAAAACACCATTTTGTTTACGATTTTTCGATTTACGAAGCCTGCTCCTTATTAACAGGATCCAGAAAGTTTAACGTTTTGATATCTGAATTTTTAAAACCTTATTTTTTAATTATTTCTCCGCAAACAAGGCAATAACTAAGATGCAAGGGGATACTAAGTGTGAAATAACATGGGAAATATATTAAGGAGAGTAAACAACAAAAGAATAAGTAATTAAGAGAGAAGATAACGATTAATTAAGTCTATTCGAAAGCAACAAATCAGAAGAGAGTTCCACAAGAGAATTCATTTCCAGTGTTTTGAGCAGACGCACAGACGTTTAGTTTTATATATAAGATAAAAATACCATTCATTTTGTGAATATATTTAAAAGTCAGAATCTTTGAGTTGTCCAAAGTCATATTGTCGAAAATAGTCTGTTCAATATAAGCTCTGCGGATGATGAATGAAAAGCTTCAAATAAATTTCCAGTGAGCTCACCAATATTTGACATCAGCTTTTGGACTCAAATCGATTTGGCGTAATTATTTACCAATAATATATTTCATCTGCTTTTGGGCTTTTTCCTTTAGAAAAATATCATGTCTAGCTATTTCTAAGTGTAAGAGCATGCACACTCACACAGATGTTCAGCATTCACTTTTTAAATTGTCATCCGCGCACAAATTCCTAAACGTTAAATGCGAATACTTTTACCTGCATTGCATCAATCAATTCTTATCAACAGCGGATTTTTCAGCATCGTTTTTGCTTCCGAAAGAAGCTGATTCGATAACTTGAAGGATATTAAAATTATCTTTTTGTAAATTTAATGCCACTTGAAAAATACATTTTTCCACTTGAAAGAAACACACCAATATATAGGGTGAAAATGGATAAATTGTCGTCTAAATTATGCAAAAATGAAAATAACACTGACATCTCATTTTAACCGATATATTTACCAAAATTACATAAAAATATCTTGAAATACTAAAGAGTAAATTTATTTAATAAAATCCCCGCGTGTCTTTTGCTTGTGTGGCATGGTGTCCTGTTGCCAGATATAGTGTCTTCCAGCATCCATTCTTTTGAACCAAGGCAGGCACTTGGTTTAAGCCTCTGAGGTAAGACTGAGATCCTCACCAACAAATTGAGGAGTTCTTTTCTTAGAACGAATCAGAGCGAGAGCTTTTCGGCCTGCCGTAATACTAATGATAATTAAGAATCATCATTAGTATTATCCAACTTTTTCCGAATCCTCTGCACTATCCTCAGACTATATATATATATATATATATATATATATATATATATATATATATATATGTGTGTGTGTGTGTGTTTGTGCGTGTGTGTGTGTGTGTATAGAGATAGATAGATAAATAGAGTGACCTCAGAAAAGTCTTTTATGTTCATATCTATATATTTCTCTCTCTCTCTCTCTCTCTCTCTCTCTCTGTATATATATATATATATATATATATATATATATATATATATATATGTATATATAGCTATCTACTACCTCCGTACTTAGTCATCATTAATATCATCCAACATCCGAATCCTCTGCACTATCCTCAGACTTTGTAATGTATATATTATATATATATATATGTGTGTGTGTGTGTGTGTGTGAGCGTGTGTGTGTGTGTCTGTGCGTATACATAGATAGATAGATAAATAGACAGATAGATAGATAGATAGAGAGAGAGAGAGAGACCTCAGAAAAATGGATTGAAAATTCATCTATCTATCTATCTCATTTTTTTTATCTGTCTTTTATGTTCATATCTATATATTTCTTTCTTTCTCTCTCTGCCAAGTATTACAATATGCCGTTTTCAAATTTCTGACGGTGTGAATTGCCTCATGGTGCATCTATTTCTCACAGACGGTGCCCAACTAACCCTACTTTTCTGTGCAGTCGACATAAATCAAAAACCAAAAACGTGCATGCGCAAAATTACAAATATAAAATGGCGACAATTTAACAGTCGCCCTCTTTTTGTGAAGATAAACTACACAACAATGAACGCGATTCTATCATTTCAATATCCGTTCAGTTAACATTTAAGCAACGAATATATATTTAGAAAAAATGTTGAATGATGTATTGGATCTCAGCCTGGTACTTGTAAAATCATTTATGCCTACAGGATGTTAATATTGATTTGTACAGTACTTGGCTTAGTATAGTAAATGGTTAAATGATTAAAGTACTTTCATTTGGGAATTGCCAGTCATTCTTAAAAATTATCATTCATAATTTTCGTATATATTTTTACTTAGTTCGACACCTGTCGGCAAAAAAATCAAATTTTAATTCTAAATTAAACTCTTTTAAAATAATACATTTATTAGATAATACATTAATTCATAAAAAATAATTTCAAATATCCGGTTTATATTCCTTTCCTGTCAACCAAGAGTTGTTGTCAGACAGAAAAGGAAATTAGCCGTCACGATAGAAATAGCTATTATAATTTTATTAATATTATGTTTATATACATTTGTATTTACGCACGTATATCTTAATTAAAACCTAAGATGTTTTCAACAAATTAAGATTTGAAAATATAATTTTATTTATTATCGAATAATTTCCAAAAAAGCTCAATAAAAGGTAATAGTTTTCTGATTATTTAGTATTTAAAAAAATTACATTGATTTTATTGCTTAGTCACGGGTAGGGGTTGTTCAGACTCAGTGAGAAAGAAATGCTTTATTCCAATGTCTTATTTTAAATTCAGTCAAATGCTGTGTGTTTGAATGCATGTGCGTGTGTATATTAAATAGAACACACGCACAACAGAGACATACATATACACATGAAATACGCGCATGCAAAGTCATACACAGCCAGTGCTAGAGAGCAAACCATTTCTGTTATGATATATATTCAACATTGGCCACTGACACCTGTGTGGAATATGCAACTACATAAACCCCTAAGCATCACTTGATACATAAGATTTTTAGCCTCGTCTTCTGTGTGCCGCATCCTTTTAATACATAGCTGATCATGGTTCTCCACAACTTCATATCTTTTTCATTGCACCACCCCACCCCCATTCCCACATCCATTCACACAAGCTCTTCAGGTAAGTTGCTTGCTGCCTTCCCCAATTTCGCTTACCCTCAACATGGTGATTGTCTAAGACAAGCTTGTTAACCATTACAAAATGTTGAGGTGTCCATTTTCTAAGTGTAGCTTAGATGTGGCACAAGGCGGAGTGTATGGGGCACACAGTGGGGATCGAACTCACTCGTAATTGGTTTAGCAAGACAAGCTTGCCAAATGATTTTCTAAGGATAGATGTGACACAAACCCGAAAGTGTGGAGCACCAAGCAGTTGTAATTGATCTAGCGAGAAAAGCTCGTTAACCATTGCACCATGTAGAAGCGCCTTATTAAACACAGTATGCCTCGTGAGGGTTAAATTTTCCAAGCCTACCGTTCTCATCATGTGTCCAAGGAATTTTCCGGTTTTCAAGTATAAGTATTCTTTCTGTTGTCATTTAAGATTTCTTTGTTGCTTTATTCGCTCCGTCCATAAAATTTTCAGTATCCTTCAGTAGAATCCCATTTTTACTGCCTCTAATTTTTTACCGCGTACGTAGCGAAATTGTTCAACATTCATTGCCATATAAGACGATTGATATTCCATAGGAATGCAACACTATTTTTCTTTTGTTTTTTTTTTGTTCCTAAAGAAATTGTTCCGTTTTTTTTACACCTTCCTTAGCATTTAGAATGCTTCTTTCGCTACTCCAATACGTGTCATGATCTGGGGTGTTGCATTATCTATTTTTTGGTTAAAACTCTCGCCAGATGGTAAAGATTCAAAAGAATGAGGCACAGAGCGAAGATGCAATCTTAGTCTCGCTTGTTAACCATATCAATGTTGAGCTCCTTCATGGCTACAAATATTTATCTCGTTAAAAGTCCAAACAGTTAACTCAAGCAATGGACAAATTTGTAAATAATGTTTAAATAATAATTATTGAGAAAATAACAACACACCAGCTAAGTCAAAATTACAAAGAGCGAACATTATCTATGAGTTCTAATGCCCCTTAAGGAACTGCGTTCCTGATCAAACCGGACTCATAAATAATTACATTTCCAGACATCTTACGTTACACCTATCTGATCACAGTTCTATTAGAAGCCATTTAAACACACACACAGATTTACCCGACACTATTAGGAACATACTAGTAGAAAACACAAATATATTAACTGCATCCACCTGCAAAAAAAGACTAAAAATAATGGAAGCTTTAATAATAAAAAAGAAAAAGCCAACTTTTAACAATATTAACTACGAACAAAGCCACAATGTGCTAACCGTATTCGGAAATTAAAAACATCTCTACCACACACTGATACATACACAGAACGCACACACTCAATTAAGCTGAAAACCGAATCATCCTTGATAATGGCTAAAGGTATAGCCGAAAGCGCTCGGAAATATAAAACATTCGGACAGTTTTTACACACCCTTTGTTCAGAAAAGAAAGCTCTTGTCAGAACACAAGAAAAATTAAATAAAAAGCTTAACCGTAGTACATTGTTTGTCGTTTTTAATGAAACATGCATAAAGGAAGGTTTGCTGCCTAAATATACACTATATATATATATATATATATATATATATATATTGTTGTTGTTAGTATCAAAACCGTTCGGTGGCGGTTTCCTGCGTTTTTTTTTCAGATATCTGTCGATTCACTAGAAGTGCCCAGGTGATTTTCTATGCATAGCTTAGATGTGGCACAAAGCCGAAAGTAAGGGACACCCAGTGAGGATCGAAGTCACTATTCAGTCGTAACTGATAGAGAGAGAGAGAAGCTTGGTAACCATTACAGAACATCGAAGTACCCAAGGAATTTCTAATCGTAGTGAATAGACCCCAGTGAGAATCAAACTCACTATTCAGTCGTAACTGATCTAGCGAGAGAAGCTTGCTGACCATTACAGCACGTCGATGTACCCAAATATTTTCTAAACCTAGCTTAGATGTGGCACAAGGCCGAAAGTGTGGACCACCAAGTGTAAAACGTACTCACTATTCAATCGTAATTGATCTAGCGAGGTTAGGTTAGTTTAGGTGGGTTTTCTGGCACATCAACCCTGTGGGTTATTTATTGTCAAATGCTGTTTATACAAATTTAAAAGCAAATAATTGATATATAGCATTGTCTCTAAAACGTGCATTGCACATTCGTCCCCAGACGGTTACATTGATTTCAAACATTTGGTGTTTATATTTTTACTTTTTTTTATTTTCATTGAAATCATTGAAATTCATCAATATATATCCCAATGGTGCAAAACAGCCAAACATCAAATGGAGGATCTCCTCCTTTAAGCAGATATGAATGTGTTATGAATGTGTGGCCTAAGTGGTGCCGAGCAATGGCTACATTCTCTTTTCTCACTTTTCTGTAAATCTGGTAGGTTGTGATCATTGGTTGAATCTTTTTTTAGTTTATTCTCAGTGCAGTTATCCCAGAGAGTTTGCCATTTGTTTGTTATAAACCTATTAATTATTGGTTGTAAATCTGTGTATGGAATTTTGGTGTTTGTTTTGATCCTGTATTGTGAACTTTTCGTGGCTTTACCCTCTTTTTCGTTTCCATGAATGCCAACAGCAGAAGATGATCATTTTGTGTTACAGATGTTGTTGATGCTATTACTAAGTTGAATAATTAATCGATTTATCCTATTTTTTTATTTTGTAGCGCTTCAAGTGAGGATATTGATTCTGTACATATCATGAATTTGTTTGATCTGCTGTTTTTGATTATGTTCAATGCCAGATCAATGGCTGTTAACTCAGCGGTATAAATTGATGCCATTCTTGACAATCTCTTTGTGTATTTTTTGCTGTCATAGATAGCAGCAATTCCTACTGTGTGTTCATCTTTACATCCATCTATATATAAAGATTTAGAGTCTGAATAATGTTTTTTGATGTTTTCAAATGAATCCTGAAATATAATTGGGTTTGTTCTCTTCTTTAAACATTTTCACAAATCAAGTATAAAAGTTGGTTGTTTCATTTGCCATCATGGAGTTTGGAAGATGATTGATTGGTGTATATGACTAGAGTTCATTTGCATTTCACTGGTAAGCTCTCCGATACGGAGACTGAAGAGGTTAATGGCCTCGAAGACGATTTTGTACTAGGTTTTAAATACACAATCATAGGCATGATGATAATTTTGTAACATATTGGAGTGCTAACTTTCCTCTTCTCAGTGACAGAGGGGCTTTATTTGCTTCTGTATATAGACTCTCCAATGCCCAATGGGAGTCTCAGACCTTGATGATGAAATGTTTCAAATTTTTTGAGGTATGAATATCTTCCGGCACCATAGATGAAAAAACCATAGTCAAGTTTTTATCTGACAATTGTTTTGTAAATTTTTAGAAGTGATTTCTTATCAGCTCCCCAATCAGTGTGGGTATAAACTCTGAGTAGGTTGATTGTCTTGTTACATTTTGGTCTTAAGTAATTTATATGGGGGGATGAAAGAGAATTTCGTATCAAATATAATGCCAAGAAATTTATGTTATTGGTATTTCCTTTCGATTCAGCGTTAAACATGGATCATTGTGCATTTTGTGGAGATTTCAGTGATGCGCACACTTCGATTTTGTTTCGGAAAACCGAAAACCTTTACCATGTCAAAGAAAATTCCAGTTAG